TTATAAATTGTAAAATTATTATAAATAGTTTATCTGGTGAATGCACCAAAAGCTCTTGGAACCTTTCAAACGCTACACACTTCGAGGATTTTGGTAACTTGACGTAACCGGTAAAGGTTATAGTTATTTATTATGCAAGACGATAAAGGGACATTTTAACTTTCACGAGATGGTTTGTTTCCCTTTATCGTCGTATATAATACAAAACTTTATTTTATAGCAGACGCCATATAAATCATTGTAAAGCTTTTTGCCAATTCTGAATTTAATTTAGAGACGTCAAAAATAGCAAGCTTAGGTTCTGCCATCGCGATGGTTTCCATAGAAACAGAATTGTCATATGTTCTGAACGTCATTTTATATCGCGCATTTGAAATAAGATTGACAGATGTCATTAGAATGCACAGTCACTTGTTCGTTGGAAAATGCGCTAAAAATATGGTAACTTCCTTAAAAATGGCATTTACCGGTTAGACTGCTAGTTCGTACGACGTAAAACTAAAGAAAGAACGACTGCTGGGAAGCGTGTCGTCAATACAACGTGTACGAATGGTCAATCAGTGTCCGTGACCTATGAGATCACGATTACGATATGTAACCAGTGAAGACCCTAGAGCTACTCTCGTGGTAATAAGTAAATTTGAAAGCGATTTATTTAAATTTCACTACTCCCTTCCACCCCATTTATAATTTTTGGTTTTGAGTTGCAAAAAACGGTGTTATTTGTACCGTTTGTCAGCTCACGTATCCATCCATTCAGATTGACACCCTGTAATTAGAATGGAACACCGTAAGATCAGCAAGCGTAACCTGCGGTGTCGCGCTAGTTATAATTAAAATTCAGTTTTGATATAAGGGCCAACAACATTCAAAATGTAATGGTAGGGGGAGAGAACGCCAGAATAAAAACAATATTCGAGAAGATAATGGTGCCACACCTTCCGGATTGTTAACAAATGTGGTGGGGAAAGATTTCTGCATTTTTTGTAATAAACGCCACGACTCTGTGACCTATCAAGATAAGCAGAGAAAGTAGGGATTGAGAAAAGTGATTGCCTCCTAAATGATTTGAAACTTAATATCGTAGAAATCGGGCGCAGTCTCAGTTCGGAACCCGAAAATCAAAGCAAAAAAAGGGGTCCGTTAACTTGGCCCCCCCACTGAGAGATTTCATAGTGGTATTATTTTGAAATGAATGCGCTCGTTATGCGCTCATATGCGCCACCGATAATAACTCTTGCGCCATTATCGTTTTTTAGAAATCCGAAAAAACATTTGGGGGGGGGCCAAGTGAACGTAGCCCCCTTCCTCAGTACGTATTTTGTTCCTTGTAACTAGGTCACCTGATACATTTGGTTATGCGCTCAATTGCGCCACTTGAATTAAAGCTAGCGCCATTACGGTTAAGCCGTGACAAATTTTCAAAAAGTGGGGGGGCCAACTTAACGTTTTTAAAAGTTACTTTTTTTTAACTTCTTTTCATACGAAATTGTACTCTCAGGTATGCGCTGAAATGCGCCGTAAAAAGATATCTTTGCGCCATTATTGTTTTTTGGTTATCCTTAAATATATTTGGGGGGGGGCCAAGTGAACGGAATCCCCCATAACGCATTTTGCTACCGGTATTTGTGCCACTTGATACATCTGGTTATGAGCTCAATTGCGCCACTTGAATTAAAGCTAGCGCCATTACGGTTAAGCCATAAAAAATTTTTAAAAAGTGGAGGGTCTAACTTAGCGTTTTCAAAAGTTATTTCCGGAAGTGCGTCCATTTTGAAAATATTTTACATCGATTCGGCCTTCGGAGTAACTCCTAAATACAAATTTTTAAAAACCTACCTATTTTACTTTCTCAGAGTCGTTTAACTAAAGCTCCCAAAAAAACACCCTGTATAGTGTTTCTGAAACACTATAATGGCGCCAAGATTTTTGTTTACGGCGCATTTTAGCGCATGATGAAAGGTACGATGTAGTAGAAAAAACATGTTAAAAAACGTAACTTTTGAAAACGAAAAAACATGTTAAAAAAACGTAACTTTTGAAAACGTTAAGTTAGCGCTTAACCGTAATGGCGCTAGCTTTAATTCAAGTGGCGCAATTGAGCTCATAACCAGATGTATCAAGTGGCACAAATACCGGTAGCAAAATGCGTTATGGGGGATTCCGTTCACTTGGCCCCCCCCCCAAATATATTTAAGGATAACCAAAAAACAATAATGGCGCAAAGATATCTTTTTACGGCGCATTTCAGCGCATACCTGAGAGTACAATTTCGTATGAAAAGATGTTAAAAAAAAGTAACATTTAAAAACGTTAAGTTGGCCCCCCCACTTTTTGAAAATTTGTCACGGCTTAACCGTAATGGCGCTAGCTTTAATTCAAGTAGCGCAATTGAGCGCATACCCAAATGTATCAGGTGACCTAGTTACAAGGAACAAAATACGTACTGGGGGGGGGGGGCTACGTTCACTTGGCCCCCCCCCAAATGTTTTTTCGGATTTCTAAAAAACGATAATGGCGCAAGAGTTATTATCGGTGGCGCATATGAGCGCATAACGAGCGCATTCATTTCAAAATAATACGACTATCAAATCTCTCAGTGGGGGGGGGGGGGGAGCAAGTTAACGGACCCCAAAAAAAGGAATAATGCTCTCAGACGTCGGAAAATCATCATCGGATATTCATGTATTTGCTCTGAAATGGTTATTGGAGTCATGTCATAACTGGGAAGGTGGTCAAACTAGAATGTGGACTGATAGCGACAGAGACTATCTTTAGATGGGCTTTGGGAGCACGATGAGCAAAGTTAATCAAAGTAACACAATCGTTTCATTGCTCTTTATCTCGTCAGACCTTTCTGACCTACAGAATCTGGCACCACCGGCATAAAGAACACAACACGCTAGAATTCAAAGGTTGCTCGTTTTAAAGACGGTACATTGTAGCGCTCCCTTGGAATGGAAAAATTGATCGGAAAGTCTCTTCCGCTTCCAACTGCTTTCGCGCTTCTTTAGTTGAAAGATTCTTGAAAAACTCGCCGGAAATTAACGTTTTAAATCAATTCTTCGCTCTAGTAAAGTCGGAATGAAATTTTCGCGGCAAACGAACGTGATTCCCTTTTTGTAGTCTTGGACCGAATTCCCTCAAAAACTTCCCAGACTAACCCCTTCCTATTTTTTCATTAATTAATTGACGCCTTTTTCCGTCGAATAATTAAGTCAACCAATTTTTTCGTTAAAAGCCAATGAGTGTGTACTCCCACAGTACCCCCAGCATACCAAGACATAATTTATACGAGTATACGAATGGCACATGGTCATAATGTGAGATAATACATGCCTTCGTCACAGTACTAAACCAATAAAGGTGGATCCAGTTCCCTTACCAAAGGAAAGGGTATAGGATGAGGACCCGTTTACCACCAATGGAGTGGATTTTGCTCGGGATTTTGCCGGGCTCATTTATGTGAAGGAGGGAAAATCCTTGATCGTGTTGTTTTCCTCTGCAGTTTATCGTTTTGTATAATGTCTGGTATGCAGTCCGTTTACGGAAGCATTTTTGGGAGCCCATGTATAGAAGGCCCAATACAATTTTCTCAGACAACGGAACTAATTTCGTGGGAGCACAGCTAATTTGTTAGCGCATTTTTTAACAATTAAAAAAATGTACTATTGTTTGCGTTTTGTAGTCCGTCCGTGCGTCCGGCCTTTCCAAACCGAACTCACTTCTGCGGTTTTGAACTACTTTTAGGGGAATGGTCCTAGAGTGCTGGATTTTTTACAATATGTAGCCTATACCTTGAAGGTGTGCTAAACGGCCATCAAATTTCGTATCTCTAGCCCCCCCCCCTGCCATGAATTATTTCCTGAAATGATGTATTTGAAAAAACGTGCATAACTTTTACATGGCAAATGGTCTCGGAATTTGTATACGAATGCCTTTAGTGGTTTCAAGTAAAATTTTTGAAAATGGGGGAGGGGGCCGGGATGAACACGCGTTTACCCTCCTGGCATTCTAATGAAAGGTCTCACCGAAATGAATTGGTTTGTACAAACTATAACTTTCCCGCGCGACTCCTTTCCGAGATAAATAGGTGGCCGGAGTGGAAGGAGGGAGGGGAGGGAGGAGGTAGAAATTAATTTTATCCTTCATGGTATTTCAATTGAAGGTCCCAACAAAAGGAACTGTTTTCTAACAACTACCGCCCTACTTTCTGACTCATCAAAGAGGATTGGGGGAAGTGGATTATTATGATGATTCGTAGGGGTTGATTATGTTTTAGAACCGATATCGATAGCTCCTAATATTCAAACCGTTACTAAAAACGTGTCACATTCAAAAGGGCAGAGAAATATCTATTGTCGGAGTCCCATTTTGCAAAACTTTAAGTTAAACCCACGTATAAGCTACAATATCCGTAGATAAGTGACAATCGAAACCTAAAATGGACCAGGGGAAAGTTGTGTGAGTAACAAAATGTGCACTAATCTCCTAATGACACACTGATGAGCGAGGTTAATTGAGAAGTCTGATCGGAAAAGTACGAATTGTTTTGGATTCTACGCACCAACATTAATAAGAAAAAGTGTTTTCCCGAGAAATTTTGGTGCAGTCAATTTTTGGTAAAAAAGGAAGGTAAAACACTGCCTTCTTTTGAGGCCACAAACAAAAATTGTCTCAGATCGATCCGGAAAAAAATTTTTCTTATAGAATGAGACCTGTAGAATCCATAATTTCAAACAGTTCCAAGATTGGGCTACTTGTTCAAAAGTTACAGCCCTTTGAATTTTCTTTCGAAATTGGTTTCTAGCTCCCTGATGAGCGAGTGAAAATTGTTAAAGAGGAAATATGAGCTGTAAACGATGTGCCTCGCTTTTATTCAAGCGTTTAAAAAACTGGTCTCAGGCGCCCAAATTTGCATATTCAAGGCTGGCAATAAAATTGTCAAATTGAGCTACTTCTTCACGCGTATTAATAATGTGATGGATTTTAGTACTTACTTCTGCATTAGCGCGGACGAGACACAAATCACTTTCACTAGAGGCGTTTAGACGTTCGACTGACTCAGATCTCAGGTACTCCGTTTTCGACATTGGTCCGTTTGTAAAATACCTGTCAACCTCATTATCCCATGCATTCCTTCTACCTGGTGCTTGTCAACGGTTAACTTCTCGGAATTTACAGGGATAACGTTTACGCCAGTCGAGATTAAGTTGGTAGATTCATAAAAACAAACGACTTCATAATTTAAATCGCCCCGTTGCTTGTTGCACAAATTTATTCATATTTATTATCTTGTCCGAGGCACGTTTTATAGTACTCGTCCGGATTTATTACCGCACTCTAACCCCCTCCTTCTGTAACAAGATGGATAATATGTGATTGTTTTGGAAGCAATTTGAAATGTAGCCTACGTGTGAAAGTCAAACGCCGACAGCTATTGTTTCGTATCTAATTAAAGAAGACGATTGGGTAGTGTTAATAAACAAAGTAAATGGAACAAAGTCGAAATAAAATCGTATTAATCGAAAGACCTTAACGGTTATTGGGCAACCTATGCTAATTTGACCCCAATGGCATAGGTACCTTCGTCAACTCAAATTTTCTCTACATCATTTTGCCTCGTTAGTATTTAAATGCGTCGCTTAGTAACCTACTATTACTTTTAAGAGTTTTCATAATTTATCGACGGAGTGGAACCCCTTCGGTTAGGCGTACGTTCGAAAATGACGGTAATTAGGCTGACGCCCACGCCGCGCCCGTATTCTAATTTTGGTAAACGGACGAGCGCGAGGTCTCTAAATGATGCAAAACGTTCGACGATTTTTGAACAACTTCTGGTTCCAGTAACCAAAATATTTCCTTGGCGCCTTATTTCAATGTATGAACCGCTTTGCGTTATTCCTTATACCGTTAACAAGAGGAAAGATCCCTCGGGGACTGAGGCGACTTGGTAAAAACGCAGTGGGAAGATCAATTAACCGGATGTTATAGTGATCTAGTTCAGAAGAGACTATCGTAAAAAATTCGATGTCTTCATAAAATAAATGTACGCGCAAATTCGTATGTAGAACTATCGAAAAATTATAACATTATAATCTGTTGGATAGCAGGCGTTACAAGTAGAAAGTTCATTGCCATCATTTGCATTCGAAGAGGTAGTCGTAAGAAAATCCAGGTTTCGTTCTACTACCATCGATAAGGTACCATCCTTTCGTGGATGGAAGTACTAATTTGTACCATAGGGAAACCATCGATAATTAAGGAAACGTGGTCCTTTTGATTTGTATATCAAATAACGATCGGTCCTCCTTAAGAAATGAAATTTGTCTGATTACATTCAATTTCAAAAGAAAGAAACCAAAATTCTTTCTAAATGAGTTTTCTGATTAAAATGATTCAATTTTGGCAAAATGAAGCCAAATTGTATATCTTTAAATTGTTATGTTTGAACGAATTTATAAGGAGTTTTAGTTAAATTGTATCAGTTAAATTCAGAACATTGCTATCAGTGAGTGCAATTTTGTTAGATAGGCGTAATTATTTTAAATTAAAAGCTAATTACTTTTTACTCCCTACATTGTAGTTAACAGAAATATAACAGACCACACTATAAAAGTTCTATTTTTATCATGAAATTATATTAGGTCAAAAGACGGCCTATATACGGTGCAGGGCTTGGATTAAAAATTGGAAAAATCTATTCATTAGGCAGCGCATTGTTTTAAAAATTGATGCGTGTTGTTTTTCCTTTACTTGCGTTTTGTTTCTAATTAAGCACAAGCTATCCGCATTAAAATCGGGATATTTAGTCCCAACAACACTACCTGAATTCTATTTAGAGGAAGTGAGCAGTTAGGTACATCAGATCACGAAACCAAGGTTGCATAGAACTCGACTCGGGGAGATAATCAACTTTAAAGAATTCAAAGGCGATAAAGTATCTTCATTAACTCCGTTTTGTGCGAATTATCAGTAGAAATAACGGAATTGCGTATATTTTCGCGCGTTTAATTGAGAGTTTTTGATTTGTTTCTCCCGTTACATTGTTTGCTAGTATAAAATTTAGTTAACTGGCCAGTAGGGAAATTTTTGGGTTTAGTAAGAAATTAGTCTTTTGCCCTTTGGGAGGGATTGTGAACATTTCTTTGATTTCGTTGTTCAATCATCTAAATATATTCAGGTATCACTTTTAGAATTTTTATCACATTTATAACTCTTCCAAAGGAAGCGAAAAGGTTCTATTTCAAAGGTACGCTAACATTGAAGTCGCGTAAACTTTCCTGATCTACTCACGTATCAAATGTCAAAGTTAAAGTGCTGCCAGTCGGCCAAAGTGAGTTAATAATAAATTAATAATAATAAATTCGCAAAAATGCGCTAAAAAGGATAGAGATGGGCACTGATCGTTAGAGAGTGCAGGTCGTCCGCTCTAAAAAAAATTGCGATCTCTATGTAAAGCGAGGTTAGCGTAAAAAAAGTATAAGTGAAGGAGAGAGAGACGAAATAAAACAAGTTTAGCTTAAGAAAAGTATAAGTGCGAGAGGAATCGAGTAGTGAACGCGGTAGAATACAGGTCTTTAGCTAGAAATTTTGATTGCGAAGGAAGTTATTACTTCTTTTAAAATAAAATTTAAACGGACAAGGAGGCAGCAAATCAAACCAAGTTCATTGCATTGTTTAATTCGCATAGGAGAATACGGGACACCGTACTCGTTGCATTGTTTCATGTTAGCGGCACATGAGTGGTTATCTATAGTAAACTTGAACGACGACAAATTAATTTCGTTTTTACAACCGCACCAGCTAACAATAAAAAAGTTATATTCGCACGAAATGATATTTTCTTACGTGATTCAAGCCGCATTAAAGCTAATGAAACTTTTATCTCGAAAGTTCTTCAACAAAGGCGCACCTTGACGCCAGGAAAGCTGAAGTTGTTCAACCGGAGGGAAGATCCCTTTGATACGACAGGTGTGATATGTGTTCTCCAAAAGCGACTGCGCAGATTGAGGAAGGCATCAATTCCTTTGAATTAGAAAATCTATAAGCAATTACCAGAAAAATGAAAGAAAATTCTAGATGGAAATGATACAAATGACCTACGTCACTCTCACATGGTGGAGGGTTCAGAAGATCAACGAAACTTTGCTTTGCTCAAGGTATGATAAAGAAAAGTGGTAGCGTTAGAGCTGTAGAAGAAGAGGACACCCTACAAAACAAATTGTGGGCGGCATTGACTGCTGTCAAAGCTATGGCGACAAAGTAACAGACCTTTTGCTAGCATTGCGAAGAAATTGGGCATTTCCAGAACCGATGTCGACCGACTCAAGGGAGGCCTGCCTAATGGAGTCAGGGTCAAAAGCAGGAAAAATACAAAAAGTCGATAGCCACTGTCTTTGTACTCCATACTATTTGTGTAGACGGTTTACTGGTATATACTAACTTATAGATACCGGTGCGAGAAGAACGACAATGGTTGTATTTGGTTAAAACATTTATATCCTCCACTGGAGATGCTGTTAAGATCCACGGGGAAGCGTCCATGAGAAGTACGTTTGGAGGTTCATGTATGGAAGAAACTGTTTTGGTAGCCTTTGGGTATGGATGTCAGGAGGAAATACGGGTTCAAGATATGGATTTAAATGATGGAGTTATTCATCTCAACGACGAAGATCACTACCCTTACAGATTGCGTTGTCATGGCACGATTGCACAGCAAATTTCAGTGAAGGGAATGTTTGGTTTTTGCCGTAGTGATGATTTAAAATTGGATCGTTTGGTCAAGAAGACTAAAAAGAGTCATGCCGTTTGGATTGTGCAACGCCCCCAGTCACATTTTTCGCTGCGATTTCCGGAAGAGCGAGAAACTGTGTCCCTAAATAATTAAGATCTACAGAACGCGAAATACCACGCATCGTTGACCATAAAATTTACAATCGCACAACCGTAAACATGATCGAGGAGGTCAAAATCTCTATAAAAGAAGTTACAAGTCATCAAAAAGCTATCTTCGTTAATTAATTGAATGGGAATGATTTTATTAGTTTCTTTTGACACCTCACGTTCGTTTCACAAGGGGGCAACGGATTCGAGTGTCAAAATTTGATCAACTCATAGAACTTTCTCGTTGCCTGATTGATATAATTACTATCCAGCGATGTACTCGTTTGCCATATGTTCCTCGATGGCCCGAAGGTTTATAACTTGAATCTTTTGTATGACTTCGGGGTATATGATATCCAACCGGTATTGGGATAATGATCTCTCGGTGCAATCGATGCCAAAAGTAGATGTTGTCCTTGCTCTTGTCCGACCGGAATAAATTACCGAAGTACAAAGACGCATTAAAATCACTTAAAAGAACAAATGAGACGTAGAATAATACAAAAGTTAAGAAAGCGCCCCGAGGAAGTGCGCACCGAAACCGCCTCCTCCTTTGTAATATCCGTACCATACGAAACACATTTAAAGGTTTCGGCTGTAGGCGCGCGCATTTTAATAAATCAAATTCGACGCGAAGCAAAAAGCCTCGGTCCGGCCCGAGGTGAAAAGAGAGCTCGACGGGATAGCCCCAAGGGCCCTAGCAATGAATTCCGCCAGACGACTTGTAATTAACTGCCCTCGTAATTCTGTTTGATTTACAGAACCTAGAAATTAATAAGCGCGTACACGCCAGATTTATAATGCGAATGGAACTCGCTTATTTGACTTACAACTCGAAACTCGTGCAACTTTTATGCTAAATTCAACGTTTTATTAAAATTTGCGTTTAAATGGCAACAAAAAAGTTGGGGACGGTCCCACCGCATCATGATACGTATGGATTTAGGCCACATTTCGCAAAAGACGTTTTGGAGACACACTACTCCATTATGTATGGTAGTACGCTGGAAGGGGAGGGATTTTATTCTCTCAAGTCAAATTCTCCTCAAATTCCACTCAAAGCCCTCAAATTAGGTTCTCTTCTAACTTCCGTTCATTTGCCTTTAATGTTTCCTTTCTCAAGTTGTTCTCAAGCTTCCTCAACTTTCTCTTCAGTTTCTCCTCCTCAGTTTTTTTTCATGGAAATTAGATGCGGGTATCCACTAAACTCTATCTCCGTATTTCCCCTCCCCCTACCCTACTACAACACCGTGGCGTCTAGTGGTATGAAATATCCACAGCAAAAGGAAAATTCAACGAGCTTTTCCCTACAATTATCATTATCTCCATGAGACCATTCGTATACTCATATAAATGAAGTCTTGGTACGCTGGAAGGTACTCTGGGGAGTGATTGGCTTTTAAATAAAAATCAATAAAAATCGTCATATGGAAAAAGGCGTCTATTAAAATTAATGAAAAAATTGGAAGGGGTTAGTCTAGGTAGTTTTTGAGGGCATTCGGTCTAGGAGTTCATAAAGGGAACCACGTTCGTTTGCCAAGCGAATTTCGATCCGAGTTTACCAGAGAGGAGCATTGATTTAAAATGTTAATTTTACTATGATTTCATAGATTTAAGCGAGATTTTTACGGATTTCTACCAGATTTAACTATGGTTTCGTATATTTCATCACAATTACACTATGATTCCGTGGATATCGCGGATTTCATCAAAATTTCATGAATTGCATTACGATTTCACAAACTTCATCAACATTTTATGATGATTTATTTCACAGGATTTAGATTTCACCAAGATTTCACGGATTTCATTGATATTTCACTATGAATTCGTAGATTTAATCAAGCTATTTACGGATTTCTTCAAGATTGAACTATGATTTCGTTTATTTCATTACGATTTCACTATTATTTCGTGGATATAACGGATTTCATCAAATTTTCATGGATTTCATTCAGATTTCACAGATTTTGTCAACATTTCACTATGATTTCATGGATTTCACCAAGATTTTACGGATTTCATCAAATTTTCATGGATTTCATTCAGATTTCACAGATTTCGTCAACATTTCACTATGATTTCATGGATTTCACCAAGATTTTACGGATTTCATCGAGATTTCACTATGAATTCGTAGATTTAATTCAGATTTTACGGATTTCATCAAGATTGAACTATGATTTCTTGGATATATCACGGATTGCATCAAAATTTCATAGATTTTATTACGCTTCCACGGATTTCATCACGATTTCACTATGATTTCGTGGATTTCACTAAGATTTCAATGATTTCGTCGAGATTTCACTATGATTTCGTAGATTTAATTCAGATTTTACGGATTTCATCAAGATTGAACTATGATTTCGTGGATTTCACCAAGATTTCACGGATTTCATCGAGATTTCACTATGAATTCGTATATTTAATCAATATTTTACGGATTTCATCAAGATTGAACTATGATTTCTTGGATACATCACGGATTGCATCAAAATTTCATAGATTTTATTAGGCTTCCACGGATTTCATCACGATTTCAGTATGATTTCGTGGATTTCGCCATGATTTCATCGAGATTTCACTATGATTTCGTAGATTTAATCAAATTTTTACGGATTACATCAAGATTGAACTATGATTTCGTGGATATATCACGGATTGCATCAAAATTTAATAGATTTCTTTAAGCTTCCCCGGATTTCATCACGATTTCACTATGATTTCGTGGATTTCACTAAGATTTCAATGATTTCATCGATTTTTCACTATGATTTCGTATATTTAATCAATATTTTAAGGATTTCATCAAGATTGAACTATGATTTCGATTTCACGGATTTATTTCACGGATTTCGTCGATTTCACGATTTCACTATGATTTCATCAAGATTGAACTATGATTTCGTGGATTTCACCAAGATTTCACGGATTTCATCGAGATTTCACTATGAATTCGTATATTTAATCAATATTTTATGGATTTCATCAAGATTGAACTATGATTTCTTGGATATATCACGGATTGCATCAAAATTTCATAGATTTAATTAAGTTTCCCCGGATTTCATCACGATTTCACTATGATTTCGTGAATTTCACCAAGATTTCACGGATTTAATTGATATTTCACTATGATTTCGTAGATTTAATCCAGATTTTACGGATTTCAGAAAGATTGAACTATGATTTCGTAAATATATCACAGATTGCATCAAAGTTTCAATGATTTCACTAAGTTTTATCGATGAAATTCTCCATTTTTATTAGCTTTATTCATATGAGGTTAAAAAACACACAGGAAGTGCAGTCGAGCCTATACAGAAAAATAAAAAACCTATTAGCTCGACTGCACTTCCTGTGTGATTTCACTAAGCTTCCACGGATTTCATCAAAATTTCACTATGATTTCGTGGATTTCACCAAGATTTCACGAATTTCATCGAGATTTCAATATGATTTGGTAGATTTAATCAAATTTTTCCGGATTTCATCAAGATCGAACTATGATTTCGTGGATATATCACGGATTGCATCAGATTTCATTAAGCTTCCTCGGATTTCATCAAGATTTCATTTCATCGAGATTTCAATATGATTTGGTAGATTTAATCAAATTTTTCCGGATTTCATCAAGATCGAACTATGATTTCGTGGATATATCACGGATTGCATCAAAATTTCATAGATTTCATTAAGCTTCCTCGGATTTCATCAAGATTTCACGGATTTCATCGAGATTTCACTATGATTTCGTATATTTAATCAATATTTTACGGATTTCATCAAGATTGAACTATGATTTCGTGGATATATCACGGATTGCATCAAAATTTCATAGATTTCATTAAGCTTCCTCGGATTTCATCAAGATTTCACGGATTTCATCGAGATTTCACTATGATTTCGTATATTTAATCAATATTTTACGGATTTCATCAAGATTGAACTATGATTTCGTGGATATATCACGGATTGCATCAAAATTTCATAGATTTCATTAAGCTTCCTCGGATTTCATCAAGATTTCATATGATTTTCGTAGGATTCACCAAAGATTTCACGGATTTCATCGAGATTTCACTATTTTCGGTAGAATAATCAATTTTACATATTCATCAGATTGAACTATGAT